TCATTCACAGGCGAGAATAATCTGAGATTCGTCCTTCTCTACCTATTTCAAGCGTGGGTTGACAGTTACTGTCATAGCCTCAGGCCAATTCTAGGGACACAATCATAACTCAGAATTGGGAATCAGACATTTACTTTTCTCTTGAACAACCGATAACTTTTTGAAACTTTGGTATTCTGTGATAAATAGTGTTATTTTAACTTAATAGTAACTTTCCCTATTTAGACCAACACTGAAAACAGTTTAAAGGGCACCTCTTTTTCTAAGATGTAATGTAAGCCTCAGGTGTCCCCAGAATGTGTCAGCAAGTTTCAGCTCAAAATACCCTACAGATCATTTATTATACCATGTTGTAAATGCCCAATTTTGAGTGGAAGGAAAAACATGATGTTTTCGTGCATGTGTCTTTAAATGCAAATGAGCTGCTGCTCCCCACCCATGTTTCCAGAAGAGGGCGGAGCCTGTACAGCTCTTGGATATTCTGCCAAAAACTAACAAAACTTTTAATTATCATCTCTATCGCGGTCGTTGCACACAGAAAGCTGGCTGTCAGGCGGTGCGTCCAGTGAGTATTAAACTAAGTTCTTACAAATCTTACAAATACATATAAGGTTATATATTAAAAACAAATCACATGTGTATATTAGATCTGTGTATTAAAGTAAAAGCAGCATAATATACAGTACCTACTGCTATATATGCTGTTAAAATAACTCAAACAACAAAAGAAAAACAGAAAATCACTCACTGCTCTTGATTGAATGAACTGTACTAGATTTAATAAGAATACATTTCTCACTTGAATGCTGCTGTTAAATGCTCTGGCGAGGAGATAAACATGGCAGACTGTGTATAGATCACTGAGGGCGGAGTCTATGCTAACACGGCAGAGTCCGCCAGGAGTTGTGGGCGGGGACTAAGCATTTGTGAAATCACAAAAGCTACAATCTGCAATCGGCTTGTTCTGAGACACTGCTTGTAATTTATAGGGATTAAAAAAAGAAGAGTGGGTGGATTTTTACCATTGCAGGGTGGTTTCGTACACACACTGCCGACACACATTTATGTCCCATTTTGCATAATAGGTCCCCTTTAATGTGTATCAAAGAATATTAAACATTAAAGAAGGCAAGCAAGAGGTGAAACAGATGGCCTGAGAAGTATTAATATGTGCAGTGGTTTACTAAATCCCGAGCTTGTAATCACTGTTACATAAACTGCTCACTGTCTGCCCCATATTGGTTGGCATATTTTGTTGGCATACTGCGCATGAAGGATGTCCCAGCCTTGCTTGTTTTCTTCATTATTCTAGGTCTTTAAGGACAAAGGTTTTTGGTTGTGGGCAGGATTTGTTCAAATATGTGGCAATATGTTGATTTTGATCATATATGCACAAGTGTGACGTTAAAATAGCATTTAGGCAGTGGTGGTAAGTAATGAAGTAAAAATACTTTTACTTTACTTAAGTATTTTTTTCGGGGATCTGTACTTTACTTGAGTATGTTTTATTTGCATCTACTTTCACTTTTACTCCACTACAATTTTAAAGACAAAGTTGACTTTTTACTCCGATACATTTCCCCATGCCCGCTCCAAGTATTTATTACACTGGCTTTCCAAACCAATGAAAAACTTGTTTTTCTTTTGAAAAAAAAAAAGAACGCGCAAGCTCTTTGCCAGCATACGCTCACATAGCAGTCAGTTCGCCATTGACCACAGAAACCGGTGAAGGTGCAGCTCTCGCTGCCAGCAATGATCCCGAGATTCCTGACAGGGATCACCCATGGCCATATATCAATGATATGTTCGAATTCACTGAAGTCAAGGGAGATTAATATCGGCTGAAATGTCTTCTTTGCCTGCCACGGGTGAATTAAATTTCAGCATTCAAAACTTCACCCTCAAATCTGAGAAAACATATTGAGGTGAGTTGACGTTAAAGCAACACTAAAGAAGATTTTTTACCTTAAAATAATGTTTCCAAAATCGTTTCAGCGGTTCATCAAGTCGTAACAGGCTGAAAGGCACTTATGCCTTCGCTTTGTGGTCCTATATCTGCTAGAACGACACTATGTAAGTTTGCCAGATCGGGTCGCGTTTCTGTAGTTCCAATGAGACATAAGAGAACTACAAATCTGCCTTGCTTTACGGCAAGCATTACAATTGGACAACATTCACTCTAAAGCCGGTGCTGGATAAACAGTGGATAAACAGCGAGCATGCGTGCAACAGTAGGCTGTGGTAGGCTAAATTATTTACGACAGCGGTAACGGACAATGCCGCTTCTAACCTGTAGGGGACCGCAGAGGAAAAGTTCTTTAGTGTTGCTTTAATGTTACTATTGTTAGCCAGGTGATTTCATATTAAAATTTGCCTTGTAAACAGCTAGCTAACAAATTCTTAATAGCAGTATCTAATCTTATCATATGTTCAAATAAAACATTGCATATCACTCGATCTGCACTCGAACAATTGATCTGCCTAATTATTGATATTTACAGTTAATTTGAATATTTACTTTTTACTTTCGGTACTTAAGTACGTTTTAAATCGGATACTTTTGTACTTTTACTCAAGTGATGTTTGAATGGAAGACTTTCTACTTTTACTGGAGTAATTTTTTATTTAGGTATACTTTTACTCGAGTATAACTTTTGAGTACTTTTACCACCCCTGCATTTAGGAGGCACATTGCTTTATATTTCTAATTAATATCTCACAAATACATTCACAACATCAGCTTCAACAGTGAGTTTAGCGCCTAATATTTTTTTTAATATCCACTGTAGCTAGCATTAATTTGTATCTTAATCTTAACATATCCAAACAGTGGTAATTCTGGGTAATATTTTGGAGAGATAGTTGCAAAAAGTCGAAGTATTGAAAAAGTGTTAAAGACATGAATGAGAATTGAGATGATTAAATGACTGTCTAAAGTTACGATATAAAGAAAAAGAACATTTGTCTGAAAATGTTATACAATGCAACTCACTGTGCATTTAGGGCAGGCTATAAATGTTAATAGAATAGCAGGACAATTATGTCCATTATGATGAATACCATGGAGCATTTTAAACCAAAATATTGACCTTGCACGGAAGATGATTCACATGCAACTAGTGTTCTTGAGTATACTCAAGACCGGCCTTGGTCTCGCAACCATTTTTTTTGAAGATCTTGGTCTTGTCTCGGTCTCGAACCGCATTTGTACTCGGCCTTGTCTCAGTCTCAGATTAAGAGGACTTGGGATTTTAACTCAAGACCGGTCAAGACCACAACTGCAGGGATATCATTAAATTGCCAGTGCATTATCTGATTGATTTGTAAACATCATGAATGTGATTGGATATAAAACTTCCTGCTTCAGATGCAATCAATAACTTATTTCTAGTTTGGTTGCTTTTGTGCAAAAATGCCACCAAAATGATTACAAATGCCCACATAATTCAACTTGTACAAGATCTTGTTTTGTATATTACTGTATAACATATGATACAATTAATCAATATCACAAACAAGACAGCTGTTTTCACGAATACGAGCACGATTGCAAATGTGATATTGATCGAGGTTCAAAAACAAAATATAATTTACGTAGTTGTAATTTTACCAATTCAGATGCAACTTCTATGCGCCATCTGCATGATTTAATTTGATAAACAGTTCTATAGTGTGTTTTTATTCTAATTGTTTTTCTTGATTAAATACAAGACATTTATCAGGCAGTTAATGTGGATTTTTCAGATTAATTTGAGGAGTGCAGGTCTTGACTCGGTCTCGCATCTCTCGCCCTGCCTTGGTCTTGTCTTATCTGAACACACACTGGGCTTGGTCTTGATTTGGTCTCGGTTTGGTCTTGACTACAACATTACATGCAACCGTGGTCAGTAATATTAATAAAATGATTGACATTTTCATTTATTTATTTATTTGGAAACAACATGATGACTTGTATCCAATATCATGCTTAATCAGTGATTCAGAGGTTTCATCAAGAAGACCTCTGCTGTTCAAACCCCTCCAGTGCACGTGCTTGCTGTAAGAAAGCTCATCTGGAGAGCTTTTTAAAGCTGTCTGTTGTCTCGTGTGCTGTCCGTGGTGCTGAAGCGAAACGGGCAAAGTCATGCGGATCATGCATTCGAATTAATGCCACTCTCTTAACGTCAATCATTTATGAGTTACTTATTAGATGAAGGGTACGCTCGGCAAATAAAAACTTTCCTGGTGCACATGACACCGTCTGCAGAGTCACGTGCGAAACGTGATACGCAAGATCCGACTTTTATGCTCAGGTATTCCCAGGATGGAAACACGGTGACTTTAAGATTCGAGACATTATAAACCGACGTTCTGTTTAAAAGTTTAAAACTAGAGGTGTTTGCGTTGCAGCTGTTGCTCGCATTGCATCAGGTTAAAGTTGAACTATAGTCTGCTAATGACAGCGAGCGCGAGCTGCTACTCATCGTTTATCGTTTATCGAGATAAATCCCGTGTCGCGCATGCATGAACATGCACATGAACGTCAAGACGCTGTGGAGTTTGTGTGAATGCTTTCTTAATGTTTCAGTCCGTGCCATCATCGCTCTCTAACACTCAGCAGACTGAAATGGAAGCTCGCGACGTGGCCTCTAATAAGATGCGCTATTTTCCTCGTTAATGTCACGTTTAAAACACCCTCCGGCTTTTAGTTTGTGCGCTCACTACGCAAATTGTCAAAAAAGCTCCTCTGCAGATGCGCTGTAAGGACTGCGGATCTTCCATAAGCATTTGTTTAAAAATATCAGTGCAATATTCCAGGCGGTGGGTGAGTCAGTGAGAAGAGGGTTTGTAGAGACTGCTTCGAGGTGATTTTTTTGGGAGAAAGCTTCGAGTCATCGGGATTTTTCGGTGAGAAATGCATGCATTCCACTTTATTTTGGGTGTATCCATGTGCATGCACTGCGGTTTGGCATGCATTTTTTTTTGCATGCATGTGCATGTCTGTCATGCCTTTTACGTGGCAGTGCTCAATATCGTTGGTGTAATAATTAATAGCATGCTAATTGTGATGGAGATGATGCGCTTTGTGTTATTGTTCCAACGCAATGGAAGAGAGCGAGAAAGAGGCGAAATCCGGGTGAAATGTAAGAGGATTTGATCCCCAACCACTGAAAGAGATTAAGTCGACAGCAGCGCAAGTGAAATTGTGCTGCATATAAAAATAGGACGGATTGGTCTTTCGATGTGAGATTGGTACCTTCCATTCTGTAACACAATCGCCATGTACTCAAGTGATCTCATTTCAGGGACATAGCACAGTTGCTGCTCTGCTATAGTGAAGCTTTATTGTTGTGGATTTGGCTCTGGTAGATGACTAATTTGCTGTAAACCGGGAAGAGTTTCGATGAAGAGTGCGCGAGAGCTGCGCGCGCTCAGCATCATCATCATCAGCAGCAGTAGCAGCAGCCTCGAGCTCAAATTCAGAACAGCTCGCATCTCAGAGCATCATCTCCTCGCATCCAGACATAAAAAGACGTTTGCAAAAGTTTGACGATAAGGTGCAATCTATTTGACGTAAGTGTAGCCTATATGACTTGATGGTTGTGTCTTGGAAATTGTAAAAACCAGTGGTTGGGGGATCACGGCGGCATTAAAAGGTAGTGCCATATTCCTGGAAATCTAAAATTGATTATGAGCTACTTTTATATGTATGATATTTGTGGTGTGCATGTTTGCTGCGAACTTGGCTATAGTGGCGCACTGTTTGCTTAATTACTCCAATTTAATTACTACACGTTTAGGAAGAACCCCGTGGCGCACGCCCAATACTAATTCTGAGATACCTTGACTGAGAGACATGCTTTTGACGATGCACTCTCGCGACAGAACTCTAAAAGTGTGAATGTTATGGACTGTGTACGCATTATAATCCATGTGAAGTCAGGTAATTTCGCCCAGGTATATCACGTACAATTTTAATGTGTGCATCGTGGAAGTGCCTCGGCGAGTGATCAAGGTTTTTTGCATTAAGCTGTAAATCATGTTGTATGATGTTTATGTAGGATTAGAGCACCGATCGTGTGTGTAATGATTTGCGTTAATGCGTAGCGCCGACCGTCGGAATGAAAGCACACTGCTCTTGCCTATATTTTATAGCCTATGTATAGAACTCTGTTCATATGATGCACAGCCTTATATGTGTATGAGCACAAAATAATAGTCTAAAAGGTGTAAGTGCGATTAAACAATTAGTATTTGCATAGCGGGCTCGTGGCTTTTTCATATGCGGAATGACTGCCGTATTTTGCCATATTTCTTTAATCATTATCCTGACAATGCATAATTGCTGTAGTATTAATCTACACTATACATAAACTGTAACGGGGGCTTGGACCACCACAAAGCACCAATTCACATGAACGCGCAGTATTTATGAATATGCTCAGGCTTTAAATTAGATCTTAAGGGTTCAAACGAGGAAATATGAACATTTTGTACTTGTTAAACTACCATAAAGGGTATTGTGCAATTAAAGGATTCGCTTTTAGATAATTGGAAAGACTTAAGGTTGCATTAGTTAACATCAGTCACTACTTTGAGTTAACATGCATTAAGAATGAATAATACTTCTACAGCTTTTATTAATCTAAATTAATGTTAATTATTAAAATCGAAGGTTTGTTAACATTAGTTTGTGCACTGTGAATTAACATGAGCAAACAATGAACAGCTGTGTTTTTATTCACTAACATTAACAAAGATTAATAAATACTTGTAATAATCATTTTTAGTTCATGTTAGTAAACTAATGAAACCTTATTGTAAAGTGTTTCCAGATTAATGCTGCATCTCAAATTATTGTGAATCAACAAATCACATAACAGAATTGCTGTCCATAGACAGACTTTGATTGTTAACTGTGAGTTACGCCACAGATCTACTTGGAAAAACATTTTGTTTGTTTTTTGTCAAAAAAAAAGAAAAAACCTTCAAGTTTAATCAGATTTTTAATCATGTTCCAAATGAAAATTGATGCACTCCATATAAAGCTATTTTTTTCCATGTAGCAGATTATTACCTTAACTTTGTATTTTCTCTTCTTTAGTGAGGATTCATCCTTTGGAGAATGATGTGGGGTGGAAGGGGAGCAGCGTGGCTTTGGATTTGGGCCTGTTTACTGGTGACCAGTGTCCTGGCTGGAAAAAGGTATGTTTATGCACCTGATTTTGTTTCATATTTTACTCGTATCTTGGAATGATTAACACATTCTCTACTTTTGCTGATCATTCTCTTCGCTGTAGTTACAGTAATGTTTTTTTATTTTTTATATATATGTAATGACTTTGATCTAAATCTAGGTCTTTGATCTAGACCTATGATGTTAACTTAGACCAAGGATCAGAACCTCCGACTTCAAAGAGGATGTTATGCTAATGAAGCTTTCATTAATATTTTCATTCTGCTGTTTTCCTGTTATACTGCGTGGCTCATGGTGTTATTCTTAAGTGATTTCTTTCCTGACATACATTGTAAAGTAAGAAAACAAGATTATGCGCGAGTCCATCATCCATAAACAATATCACTGAATTATTTTATTTAGTTGGAACAAGACAAAAACATATAGTAAGATCGATTTTTTTAAAGCTTCTTTAAATATTGAGAAAAATGCAGAGGTTTGTACTCAAACTTCTTTTTTTTTTTCGTTGAAGTGTGATATTAACTGATGACTGTTACGTTTTTATCAATGCAGCTTGGGTTTTTCTGTGCTAATAGCAGAGAATTATGCTGCCGTTTAGGAAAAATAACGACAACAAAAACAGTGTTTTAATGATGCATATAATTCCATTTTTTGTACAGATCAGTAATCATGATTGTAAAATAATCACTGCAACACAAATGTCATGCCACGTTTTGCTTGCCTTAGATGTATGTTATACGTTTAGACAGGTGACAGTCACAGAATTGTATTCATTCCCATTAATATTTTATAACAATACTTTAAAAATGCCATAGGCATACAATGTCTTATTTGTAAGCTGTGTGTGAGAGCAGAGAGCACTGTTGCTGTCTATATGACCTGTAGATGGGGATGCTGTACAATGTTTAATAGAGATCTGTTTTCTGCTCATAAGCACTTGGATTTTACATTGTGTTATTCATCACTGCATGGTTTCTCATTCACCCAATTACCACCAAATGTACCAATATATATATATATATATATATATATACACACACATAGTAGTCTGCTGCGATCTTTCTCTGACTCTGAATTTTGTGCATTCTAATATTATTATTATTAACAGCGGATATGTAATTTTAGGTCAGGCTGACATTACCAGCATGCTGTGAGTGTTGTATGCGTAATATATGAGACTACGTTTTCCTCTCATGACCCCTTTTCAGTGTCGCTCATAGAGTCTGTGTGCGTGTATGTCTCTCTGCGCCGATGGGGGAAGGGTGGAAGGGTGGAATTCCTCTCGTTTTATTCGTCTCGTTGTTTTTGTGGCAGTCTGTTGTTGAATTCAGTGAGCTCCAAAGTTGTGAGCCCACTTGTGAAAAAAAGGTTAACACATTATTTTAGGTGACATGGTTACATGTTATTACATGTTCTTATTATAGTAATAACAGTAAATGATGCATTATTACTTACCCTAAACCAACCCATAACCCTAACTGCATGGTAGGTACATGTAGTTAAGTAATAAATACTTATTTGAGTGAGTACAATGTAACTACGTCACCTTAAAATCAAATGTAACCGAATAAAATGAAAACAGGAGAATCCCAAAATATTGAGAGAATACTGCTCGAGTCTGCAAGTTTGTATAAACCAGCTGATTTTAAAATGTTTGCTGTAATTGAAGCAATGAAATAGTAATTAAAAGGCCAGTTTTGACCAGTCATAACGTTTCTTTGTGAACAGTTCAAATCCCAGATTTTCAAAGTGACACTGTTCAGACTTTTAAACCGCATAGACCTCGTAACATACGTTCTTTGTGACAAAGGGAATTCTGCAAGGAGACCGCTTGAGATGAGGACATAAAACAAGTGCACTCTTCTTCTCAGCTAATTTTATTGAACTGCTTTGAATCGATAGTTGTCATTTGTCTATGTAGGTTTAGTGGAATATTCCTAGTGAAATTACGTGCAATAACAGATTTGATACATGGATAACCTGCATTAATGCGTGTGATGTCTCTCTCTCTTTCTTTCTTTCTGTCGTGTTCTCTCCCTCTATCTTTGCCATGTCAAAACACTCCGATCCGTGGTCCTTGCTAACTAATCGTGATGACCTCATCCTCTACTTGAAATCTGTTTCCATGCCAAGCTTATTTTTGAAACACCGAACAGTGTGATTGAGTCTGCATCCGCACGTGTCGTCCAGTACCTTTTAGCAGGAAAAGAATGCCAATGATTACCAAAAAAAAGCAAGCAATTACGTATGAACGGTTTTTAGGGGATGACAAATTGCTCACCATCCTTACAAGCTCTTAATCATAAAACACCATTTGACACTATATGACTAAACTGCATTTTGCTCATAATCATTTGTCTGAAATACTTAAGAGCAAAGATGTTAACAGAGTTCATTCGTTTTGCGGTCATTTTAACGTTTGGCTTCATGATGCCAGAACTCAGAATATCCACATGGATATTTGCATATAAAACAGTGTTTTAGCTAATTAATAATGCATTGTTCCTCTGATTATACCCCTTTGCTCCTAAGATGGAAGGAGACTTGTTTTTTTGTCTTCGGGCTAATACATTGCAAATTCTCTTTAAACAGGCTGGATGTTTGAGAATTACCCCGAGGAGGGTGTCTGATTTTACACAACAGGATCTAGTGTTCTAGCTATCCTTTTGCTGTTGATTATTGCTTTTGTTGGGTTTTGAATTGAACATCTGCTGTTTTGCATTGTCAGCTCCAGTCAGAATGCAGATGAGCAGAAAGACAACACCACAGTTTTCACCAGGATTCTGGACAGCCTCCTCGATGGCTATGACAACCGTCTTAGGCCTGGTCTAGGAGGTAGGTACAGAAGTTTCACTAATGCTTTATACAGATGTGTCCCAGTTTTCAGCCTTGTGGGAGTTCTTTGGTTTTAACGGTAAAAAGAAAATGGCTTTCCAGATTAACTTCTGCACTGTAAAAAATGATTTGTTAGTTTGACTAAAAAAAGTAAGTTACCTGGTTGCCTTAAAATTTTGAGTTAATTGAAACTAAAAATGTGAGTTTTTACAACAAGTGATTTTGTTGTCCTAACTTAAGATTAAATATTGTATCAATTTATTCAGCAATTAAAGGGATTAAGTTAACTTACAATTTTAAGTTCACTCAACTTAATTTAATATTATGTGAACAAACAATTTGAAGTTCACTCAACTTAATCTTAACTACATTTAGTTTGTTGTAACAATGAACTAAGAAGTTCACACGGTTGCCTTAAAATTATGAGTTAAATCAACTTCAACACAACTTAAAACAACAAAAGCTTTTTTGTTAAAACAAATTATTCTGGAATAACAGCACAAATAAACCATAACTTTAACATTTATTATAACATTCACAAAAATATGAATTAATTGAATTGTCTGACAAGTATAAATTATACTTATTAAATTATAATTGTATTTTAGTACTTTATAATTATAATTGTATTATAAATGTAGTCCAGAGGAAAAAGTTTCCACAAACACACACCATTCACCATTTATGTCTAGGCTGTTTGTATCTCTCTGATTTGATGCACTCACGTCAGCGAGGGTGTCATGATCTCGACTTGTTTAGTTTAATAGTTTCATTGTCATGTTCTGTTTAATTTCGTTTTCATGGTTCTCCCTGTTCCTATTTGCTCGAGTTCTCGTTTCTACTTTGTTTCCATGGTTTGATTAGTCACACACCTGTTTCTTTAAGTATCCACGTGTGTTTAAGCCTTCTGTTTTCTTTTATCTCTGTTCCACGTTAAAGTTGATGTTAGGGTGTGCTATCGTTCTCCGTGTTTATTAAAGTTTCTTGTTTCATCATCATTCTGCATCACGCATCTCATCTTTTGATTTAGGTACGTGCTACCCATGTTATTATTTTATTAGGATTTAAACCATGTAAGCTTTTCGAAGTTATTTATTGCACCAAAAAACACCTAAATCACTGGCCAGTTGCTCATTTGTATTTACTTGCCAAATGCATTTTTCAATCACAATTAAATCATGGTAAGAGACTTTTTAAAGCGGCAAATATTTCCTTTATACTAGGGGTGTGCAGTGAAACCAATATCTGTATCTGTTACAATCTCAAAATTATTTTTTGAACAGAATCATACTGCCAATCCAAACTGTATGCTAATTGTCAATCATATTTGACGATTGTGGTCCTGACAGAATTATAATTATAACATTTCTTCTAATTGTCGGAATCGATAGTCTCGATAGTCTAGTCTGATAGAATCGATCGTGCAGTGCTCATTGTATTAAGTTTACACTCATTCACTTCACACACTCATTATTGCGTAGTGATGTTAGAGGTTTATGTATAATTTTGTGCTATCCTCTGCCTCGGCTGTTATCCAGCAAACATGAGGACTGACTGTGGCTGCCGAATATTTTTCCTATTATTCGATAGAATTCATTATTTGTTTTGAAGCCATTATCCCTGCCTTTACGGATAAGGTATTGGGCTTCGGGCACATACTAATCTTACAAAATATCATCAAAAATGCTTTTTTTCGCCAAGCATTTCAACATTTTCTATAATGTCGAAATCTATAAAAAGTATCATTTTTACTACTATGTAAATCTTTCATTCACAGTAAGTGCCTTTCATTAAGCCATTACTATCAAATGTTTCATTTGCATGTCTTCTTGTTCAGTTTAATACTATTATAATACTATTTATTAATGCATTGTACTATTAACAGATTATCAAAAGATTTGAATAGATGTAGGTTCTATAGAATTGGTTTGCAATTTCCGAAACAGAAAACCAAATGAAATATAAATAGCAGAAGCAAGTTATCTCAGATGATAACCACAATGTTCCGAAGTGGAACTTCGACGCTGCGTCATGGTGTTGATGATATGCGGGAACACTCCGCGTTAACCGGTGTCTAAAACACGTGTGAATACATGGCAATTTTGATTGACTACGGCAGTTGGGCGACATCACAGGCACACCGACAGGCTATAAGAGGGCGCCAGAAGAAAATGTCATCAGCTCTTTTGTCTTCAGGAAGCCACTTTGTATGAGTGTGTGCATGTGAAATCTGAACCTGTGTTTCTCTCTGTGTTTGAAAAGTATCATGCAGCATGAAAAGAAAAAGTGGGTTAGAATCATGCTCTGACCTCATTTCATTACAAGTAGAGGATACACACGAGATGTGTGTCATCTGTCTTGGAGCGGAGCATATGCACGGCCAGCTCTCTATGGGGGCTGGCTGTGTTCACTGTGACTGTTTTACAGTGATGAAGCTCTACTTCCACCTGGCTTTCTTTAAGGGGGATAAGCACCCCGTGGTGCCTGTCCCGTTGCTGCCGAGGCGGCGCAGTGACTTAGATCATGGGTTTTGCAAATGGAACTGGCGGAGGAGTAAGAGACGGGTCTATCCCTTTCTCAAACTTCATCTGGAAGCTCGCTTGGCCGCTTCTTCCGATCTGGCAGAGAGCTCGTTATTGTTCACTTCTATTACTTATGAATTGAAGAAACTGCAACGCGCAATATGGCAGAATACGTCCTGCATTCTAAGTAAAAGAAAAGTCCATTGCGTCACTACAGCTGCCGTTAAAAGACTCACACTTAGGACTGCACATGCTCATTGGCTGGTCTAGCCTAAAAAATTAAGATTTTGTCATGCTATTTGAGCATAAGAAACAACATTTATGAGACAGTTCATGTCAGATTTTGTTGCTGATTTGAAATATGTTATTCAATTGTGAGTTCGGCAAGCAGTTTTTCAGATGTCAGGATTCAAATAGATAAGACTTGGTCTTGGATGCCTGAAATAGCTGGCCGTAGGTATTGCAAATATGGCCGCTGAGTGAACAGACTTTTCTTGAAAGGGACTTTGGTTAGACGAGACGGGAGTTGAGACGGATGTTTTAAGTGAGCCCGTCATCTCCCCCACCCCAGAGAAAAGGAGGAATGTGCTCCAGCCAGATTAGATGAGCGATTCCTCCCAGGACATAAACGCTTTCCTCCCATGAGCCTTCCGTTTCTTCCTGATCTCCACGATGTGCTTCCTCATGTAATCACATAAGAATTGGCTGTACAGAAGAGGAGTTTCACTCCCTCATCTGTCGTACCTCCACCATGAACCTAGAGGTAATAATGTGGACATAGTGGTGGAGCTGTTAACACATTTCCTAACTGTTCGTGAGGAGTAGGGTTGGGTACCGAAACTCGGTGCCAATAGGGAACCGGTTCCGACGTAAACGGTAGTAACCAGACCGAATAAGAACGACAATTTCGGTGCCTGATTTCGGTGCCTGACTGAAATACACACACACGCGCAGTCTCTTCTGTCTTGCATGCGTGCTCTTGCTCGCAAGGTTTGGCTGCATTTCACGTGTAAAATTACGCGTCAGAAAGCCCTCTGGGTGTGCCGATAGTCTGAATCCATATAGAATCAAGCCAATACATTGGCTGATGGCGCGGGCGCCGCCTCGACGCACTTACGTCGTCATATTATGTTGGCGCGCGCGCGCCATCTGCTCCTCAGATTTCTCTGTCGAAAAAGGAAGCTGGTCGGCAGCGCGAGGAGCTTGGCAGCGTCTCGTTCCCTATTGAGAGAACATAGGTTACACCAGTAACCAGATATGTTCTCTTTCATAGGTTCACTCAACGCTGCGAAGCTAAGAAGCAGTGGATTTGTATTTGTAGGCTGCTGTATCACGTGCCGTTTGAACTGACACGCTACAGCGATCTGTCACATTTCAAAGAGCCAAAACGTTATTTATTGTGTGAATCTCCTAAAAATATTGACAGAATCTGACAGCTGTGGATTTGTTCCATATCAAAAGTAACCTTGTCTGTCGGTGTCAGTGTCCTCTTTGTCCGCGATTTTTCTCTGCGTGAGAAAATGGATGTGTGGCGTGCGTGAGAGCGTGTGAAAAGGGTCAATTGCGTGAGTCTCACGGTCAATGCGTGAGAGTTGGCAGCTCTGCCTGCTAGTAATCTCTATTAATCTCCAGTATTATTACATTGTTTGATACAATATTGTTTTATTTGATATTATGTAAATGTGGATTTTTATTTTATATTGGTTTTATTATTATTTGTATTTATATTGTTTAAAGATTTAAGTTAATATTGTGTCCAGTTTGGCCCTGTAAATAAAAGGGTATTATTTTTTGATAAAGTGTGTGCGGTTTCGTTTTCTTAAGTAGGCCTACCGTTTCAAGAACCGTTTAGGCACCGGAACCGTTTAAAAAATACCGAGTAGGTACTGGTATCGGATAAAACCCAACCGATACCCAACCCTAGTGAGGAGTAATGGAATGACGCTGCATAAATATGTGGACAGAGTCCACTGTCCTTCAGCACTTTGGCCAGAGGTGGATATGCATCTAGAACTGTAGGAAATGGGCTACCAAAACCCTATGAGGGCCACTTGGTAGAGAGTAGTTGAGAGCAGCGCTATAACTTAGTAGCCTCCTTCCGGTTTACACTGGATGTTGTAGCTTGATGGGAATACATTGGCTCATTTCCTTAGGAGACCTGACTAACAGGTAGAGTGCTTCTCTTGGGGTTCAGCGGTGACACTCTTACGGTAGGGCACTTCTGAGAAATCGCAGTGGGTGTCGCTCCTACTGTGTGGCCCTCTCTAGTCACGGATGTCGTAGGCGGCGACTAGCTTTGTCGACTTGATTCTTTGATGATCGGCAATGGAGAGCATGGAAGTGTAGAGCTGGCGTAGGTGTTCCACTCTTGGTGCTCTCTCGCCAGATCTCCCAAGAGTACTTGGGAGACTCCTAGAGGAGACTTGAGGGTATAGCAAACAGTTGAGATTTTACTGCTCTCTCCTGAGGCCTCTTCTAATCCTTAAGGACGGGATGCTTAATTACATGCTCCCTTTGGTTAGGTTGCCCTTTAGAGCTTATAGCCGAGGGATTGTTATGGTCGGAGTTGCAGTACTTTAGTCTGCCCTCTTCCAGTTTGGAGTTGCTGGTGGACGCAGTTAAGCTGCTGCCTCCCTAGCTGGCTCGGCTCCCGGGACAGTTATACAGGTAAGTATGGATCGGAGGGTATTGAGCTGTGGACCCCGCACCTCAGGCACCTAAGTTCTTGGTCACTCAGTGCGCTGTATAGCTTTGGCTATAGCCAAGCTCGCTTGGTTAATTTCACAGGACAGTGATCGGGCATTTGTTCATACCCCCTCTCATTTTTTCATACCCCTTTTAGAAACATTTTATAATACGTTTACAGTAATAAAGTATTTAGATATAATCTGCAAACTATTAGTTTATATTTAATGAATAGTTTATAAACTATAGTTAATGCATTAATAGACTATATACAAACAATGAGTTCTTCATACATTGTCACTGTAATTAACAAATTATTATTGTTTAATTAGCTCATATATTAATCATTAAATCATGCTTTGTTTTAAAATTAATTAAGTGCTTTAAACCTATGTTGAAAATGAAGCTTTTAATGTTGTTTATATGACTATGTGGTGTTTTTAATATGCTTTAAAACAGACCATGTGCAAATGCATGAGTCAACACCATTTTATATGTCAACACCTGAGTATATTCTCCTTAAAACTGCAGTGAACCAAAGACAGTCTCAAAAACACGGTTTGAAATCGCTGGTGTTTCTGACGTCACAAACGACCTTGTAACTCTTGGATCTCTGAGCTGGTGTGAGTGGAGCTGGGGCTCATTTGCATATTCATAGAACCACGTATACTAAATGAGGCAAGGGTGTAGAGTAACATACACGCTATTTTAAGGCATGAAGAATTTTTTTTTCCAAGGAAAAAACTTTTAAATGTAATTTTTGTGATCAAAGATTAGTTTTAAGGGATACAATTGTTGACTACAGAGGTTAATACGTTGTTAACAAAGCATTATCTATCTCTTTACATATGAGCTAATTAAACAATAACACTATGTTAATTACAGTGACAATGAATGAAGAGCTCATTATTTGTATATAGTCTATTAATGGACTAACTACAGCTTATAAACCATGAATTAATTATAAACTAATATATACATATATATATATATGTGAGTGGGTGGTCACGAAAACCAGTCAGTATCTGGTGTGACCACCATTTGCCTCACGCAGAGCAACACATCTCCTTCGCATAGAGTTGATCAGGTTGTTGATTGTGGCCTGTGGAATGTTGGTCCTCTTCAACGGCTGTGCGAAGTTGCTGGATATCGGCAGGACCTGGAACATGCTGTCGTATACGCCGATCCAGAGCATCCCAAACATGCTCAATGGGTGAGATGTCCGGTGAGTATGCTGGCCATGCAAGAACTGGGATGTTTTCAGCTTCCAGGAATCTTTACAGATCATTGCAACATGGGGCCGTGCATTATCATGCTGCAACATGGGGTGATGGCCGTGGATGAATGGCACAACAATGGGCCTCAGGATCTCGTCACGGTATCTCTGTGCATTCAAAATGCCATCAATGAAATGCACCTGTGTTCGTTGTCCATAACATACGCCTGCCCATACCATAACCCCACCGCCACCATGGGCCACTCGATCCACAACGTTGACATCAGCAAACCGCTCACCCACACGACGCCATACACGCTGTCTGCCATCTGCCATGTACAGTGAAAACCGGGATTCATCCGTGAAGAGAACACCTCTCCAAAGTGCCAGACGCCATCGAATGTGAGCATTGCCCACTCAAGTCGGTTACGACGACGAACTGCAGTCAGGTCGAGACCCCGATGAGGATGACGAGAGTGGCCTTTGATTGTGGCCAGCCTAAGGCACACCTGTGCAATAATCATGCTGTCTAATCAGCATCTTGATATGCCACACCTGTGAGGTGTATGGATTATCTCGGCAAAGGAGAAGAGCTCACTAGCACAGATTTAGACAGATTTGTGAACAATATTTGAGAGAAATAGGCCTTTTGTGTACATAGAAAAAGTCTTAGATCTTTGAGTTCAGCTCATGAAAAATGGGGGCAAAAACAAAAGTGTTGTGTTTATAATTTTGTTCAGTGTACATGGTGTTGATATATATATATATATATATATATATATATATATATATATATATATATATTAAGATAAATAAATGTAAATAAAGGTTTATGTATAAGGTAAAATAATACACAATTAGACTTAATGTATTTATAAACATTTTAAGAACACTTACTATTAATGTCTAATAAAGGTTTAAAGCACTTAATGGCAATTTTGTATTTTCAATGACCTAATGTAAAGTGGGAACTATTTACTCTGAATTATCATTGACAAATTTTACTTTACTTCAGCTTTAAAATTTAGCTGCATGATAGTTATGATTAACAAGTTGTTAATAAAGCATTAAAAAAAACATGATGGACTCTTTACATATGAGCTTATTAAACAATAACACTTTTTTAATTACAGTGACATTGAATGAAGAACTCACTATTTTATTATAAATAGTTATTATAATAACAATATAGAGACTACAATTTATAAACTATTAGTTAACTATAAACTAATTGTTTGCAAATGATTTATAAGTGTTTTGTTACTATATACTTATTATAAAGTGTCACCAAACCTTTTGATAACACACTGGATAGATACTTTTACAAACATTATACATTTTATGTAAATTATGTCACTTATTAAACGTAAGTGTATTGTCTAATCTGTCAGCTGTAGAATATAGTACTGTATCATCTTATAAAATAAAATAAACTGTGGTGATAAACCAAATGTAGGCTACTTATTACATATTAATAAATATGTAACATAATAAAAATATATGCATAACTGTAATTAAAGCATGCGATCAGGGTTGGATTTTTTTTTTTTTAGCTATGATACAAGTATGATCAGTTTTAATTTAAAAAAATTAGATATTGCATGCAGAAACGTTCCTTGTCAAAAATTTAATTAATTAGCTTTGAACAGAACTGACTAATTAATTAAGTTGGCAAGAATCTCTTCACACATGTGGCATATATTTTTTAATTTTCAATGTGTTTGTTTGGCCTTACTCCCAATACCGTATGAACTAACAACTTCCATCAACATCAGTCATTATTACATGACATATATACACTGCTTTTCTTGGAGGCAAGATAGTAAGGTTCATTTCTGCATAAACAACACCAAACTATGTATGCAGAACGTTATAGTGAGGTTTTTACTTGATGTGATTTAAAATGTAAGTACTTTTGTTAAAAGAAAAGATAAGAAGAGAAAACTGGATCAAAATATCCCAGGAATTATTGGAAGCGTGTTGCCAAAATGAGATACTGTAGAACTAATGCAGTTTGAGTGTGCTGAACCTCGATTAGATCAAAGACGGCCAGGTTGAACCTCTGGATTAAAGGGTTGTTTAAACTAATGACCAACTCTGATTGACACTCAACTTGCTCATTTCTTGCTTCAACAGAGCGTGTAACTGAAGTCAAGACTGACATTTTCGTGACGAGTATTGGACCAGTATCGGACCATGACATGGTAAAACCTCTTTTTTCTTTCTTTCTTTCTTTAAATGTCACACATTTTCTGTGTTGCCATTGTTCAGAGGAATCATTTACAGGGTTAAATAATTTGTGGGGCTACTGTATATACTTTAACATGTTAGTTGTTTTGTGGTGCAAACTGCCCCATTTAGTTTCAGCCTCCCCTGTACACATTTAACCCTCCAGCTGGGATATGGCTCTAATTGTTATTATTTTGTCTTTATTATACTTACTGACGACTTTCTATTCACACTGTTTTAATACCTAATTTCTTTGATAAAACTTCTTTGTAATTGCACCTTCTTTGACTTGTATCAAATGTCCTTGTCATGTCATGTCTATCCTTGTTCAACTGGTCGAAGTTGATATGTTATTTAGAAAGTAAATTAGCAATGCAATACTTTTTAGACAGAGTAATTAGTACAGTAATCTAAATACAGTGTTAAAGATGTAATTAGTAGCAATTAATTAATACTTTTTTAGAGTAACTTACTCAACACTAATCAGTTTCATAATGGATGATCATGTGAAAATGGGGGGGCTGCCCGCAGCTATGACAATCAGTAGTTGTTAGAATGATTCATGCCACTAATTATAGCCACCAATGCTTCAGAAAGCTCATGGCTCCTCCTGTGCCTGCAGTTTTGCCGAAATTACTGCACAACATCTACTCTACAAGTATCAATTAGAATCCTTTAAAGTATTTGAGGATAAATGAAGAAGCTTGTTTTGTCACATTCCAAGCTTAACAGCAAATGGTGACTATGAACTATAATTGTATGACAAGAGTGTAACATTTTTTTGTAAACAAAATACTGTTACTAAAACTACACATGGATTTAAGATAAATTTGAAAATATTATCAAAATGAAAGTGAAAATATGTGGTCTTGCAGGAGTACACCATAGATGTGTTCTTCAGGCAGAGCTGGAAGGATGAGAGGCTGAAATTCAAAGGTCCCATGGCAGTGCTTCGTCTCAACAATCTCATGGCTAGTAAAATCTGGACCCCCGACACCTTTTTCCACAATGGCAAGAAGTCAGTCGCCCATAATATGACCATGCCTAACAAACTTCTACGGATCACAGAGGAAGGAACTCTGCTTTACACCATGAGGTGAAGCTGCTACTTGTTTTCATCTTCTTAGCAAGAACAGAAGGTGCATTTGGTGACCTTTTCATGCTATTTCCTTTTAATGCTGGTGTTTTATCTCAAGTGATTGCACTTGAGAACCGAGCAGTAGTAATTTATATCTATAGGGTGGGGGGCCTGACTGTCTGGGGATGAGTAGGATAGATGGATGGATATAAATATTTATTTATATTTAAAAATATATATTAAATTTATATTAAATTTATATTAAACCAACGACAAAATGTGTACATATTTCAATAACATTGTGGTAATGCCATTTTTTGGATAATCTAGTGAATTAAATTTATTAAACACAAAAAGTGAAATGTATCGATGTGTACATCTCTAAATTCGGAATGGATGAGCAGTGACTGCATATCAGGGGAATTCCATATCAATGCATCTAATTACACCGCATAGTAACAGATACCTACAAATAATACCAACTGTATGTCTATCATTTTGAAAGAGTATGTTGTAACTTGTAATTAACTGTCAAGGGGTCTAAATATTGTATCCCACCTTCTCTCTTGTGTCTCAGGCTTACAGTCAGAGCTGAATGTCCGATGCACTTAGAGGACTTCCCAATGGATGCCCATGCTTGCCCTCTCAAATTCGGCAGTTGTAAGTGCTGTGCTGTTTTACATTTTTGTTCCGTAGAAAGTTCATAACCTACACAAAGTCTCTAAACTGAGTACCTGTGAGCAAACGGTGACTTTCTCATAGGTCCACAGAGTGTAGATTTCATCTCTGACATAGCACCTCACATAACTGAGTTCCGGACAGATTTAGCCAGCTCTACCCTGACCCAACTAATCATTGAAAAGAAAGAACAGATGTATCTACGCCGGAGAAAGAATCAGGAGGAAAAGAAGCATGAATAAAAAACAAGCTTGAGACTCAAAGCCACAAGGCTCTAAATATTTCAGTGTCTGCTGCGTCTCTGCTGTGCTTGAGAATCCACTGCAGTATATGACCCCAGGAAGCACTGACAGCTGAAAAGTGACTTCTTCAGTTTAAACACTTTTATTTTGTGTTTTGTTTGTTTGCACCAGATGCATACACAAGGGCTGAAGTGGTGTATGTATGGACACGAGGGGCAGCGCAATCTGTGGTTGTGGCTGATGACGGCTCACGCCTCAACCAGTATGACTTGATGGGACAGACTGTCGACTCGGGTGTGGTGCAATCCAGCACTGGTTCGTTGTTATACCCTTAAATTAATTTAAATAATATTACTTTTCCATTCTGTAGTTTTATTTGTGCAAGTTTACTTCAAAGTATCATGCCCATCATTTTTCTTGTTGATTTATTCTGTTCTCTTTTTTATTGGCCAATTGATCAGAATTCATCTAAACATTCTAAATCATAAACATCTGAATATTGTTCTAATATGAACTGTGAACAGTTTTACACATGAGCAAATGCTCTAAATATCACAGCTTCCAGATGAAAACACATAGCAGATAGATTTATTGGCAACATATGAGCAATAAGTGGTTATTTGTTCCCATGAGCGAAATTCAGGTGCAAAAGAGCAGCATCAAACATAAAGTGCATAAAGCAACATTGTTTTCTTTACACAAGAATATGGACAATCCATGACAAAACACAAAATAAAAAAGTGTAGAATTGAATGAACAATGCATAATCTATCATAAATATAAAAACATTGTAATATTTAGCTTGGTTTTCAGTTTATGTTCAGTTCTGTTCAGTTTCTGAGAACTGGGGTTACATCCAAACTGTAAAACCTGATGAATATGTGCCGAGAGGACCAACCTGCTGCAGCACATACATCGTGAAGTGATGCACCCTCAGCAAAGGTCTTGGAAGAGGCCATACTCCTTGTGAAATAACCCCTGACCTCTACAGCTGAAGCCATACCACACGCCTTGTAGGAGAGGGTGATAGCATCAGTAATCCAATGCAAGATGCACTGCTTGGTAACCGTATTTCCTCCATTGTGACCACCGAATTAAATTAGAAACACAGAGGATTAAAACCACAAGCCTGAGCGGTGGACATAAGTTGTAGATCCTTAAAGCACAGACTAGACATAACAGATGCAGACTTTCTTACTCTTGCGTCTCATGAGGTGGAGGGAGGAAAGCCTGCAAGACAACTGGCTAACCAGCCATAGAAGGAACTTTTGGGATATAGTCCGGTCTAGGGTGTAGTATAGCTCTGACATCACCTGAAGCAAAGTCTTAGCTGGAGGAGGCTACTGAAAGGGCCTGCAGGTCTCCTACTCTCTGGAGTAATGTCTGGGACTGATTCCAAGGCCTCAAACCCTCTCTTAAGGCTCCCAGGACCAATTTTAGGTACCAGGATGAAACTCGTGACCAACAGATAGGCTGCATCCATCTGACACCATGCAAGAACTGAGAAACTATGGGTGCCTCCCCGCAGAAGATCCGTTCAGAGATGTGTTGGCTAGCAGAAATGGCTGCTACATACACCTTTAAGATAGCAGGAGCCATCCCTGCTGCGAGATCCTCTTGAAGGAACTTCAGTCCTGGACTGACAGGGCAGTTAAGTTGATCCACATCATGTTGCTTTGAACCAAGACACAAGCAGTTGTCATTTCAGGGCATATAACCCCCAGAATATAAACTACTCTCAAAGACAGGAACTTGTTCTCTGCCCAGAGCAGGATCTGCTGCACCTGCCTGAAAATGGGGCCCGAACGCAGCGTGCCCTGGTGATTGATATAAGAGACCACCGAGGTGTTGTCCGTGCAGACTAACATGCGGTGTCCCTTCAAATGTGGGAGGAAGTGTTTCTAAGCTAGAAACACTGACCTCATCTCAAGGCAGTTTATGTGCCATGAGGTATGAGGGCCCTCCCAAAGGCCACGGGCTGGTCGGCCATCGAGAATCGCACCTCAGCCTGTGAGAGACCTATTGGCCTAGCTTGATAGTCTCTCACAGTTAGGATTGAATTTACATGTGCAGGTGACATATGTGCCTGCATTATGGTCGATTCCCACACTATTCCTAGAAAAGTGGTTCTCTGTTTTGGAGAAAGCATACTCTTCATGAGGTTCAGCCTGAGCCCCAAACGCTTCATATGAGCGAGCACAAGATCTCGAGGTCGAGGATCCTGCCCTTGGTGTACATGTGTGGGGACAGAGCTAGGCCGAAAGGAAGTTCTCGATATTGGTAAGCTTTGCCCCCGAAAGCAAACCTGAGAAACATCCTGTGTTCCGAATAGTACGGTTCAGGCCCCTTAGATCTAAAATTGGACGCAGACCCCCATCTTTGTTGGGTACTATAAAATACCAACTGTAAAACCCTGTGTCTCTTTCTGGGAGGGGTGCATGTTCTATGGCCCCTTTCGCCATATTCACAGTTCTTGTTTGAGGAAGACTTTGTCTCCTTCCTGGCGCACTTTCGTTACCATTACTCCTTGGAAACTAGGTGGACGGTAGACATCTGAATCCTGTAACCTTTTGTTACAGACCTTGGGCAAAAGTTGCCACACTGTCACAAAGTTTGACAGATGAATCTTTTTTTTCAATAGAATTGGTCTGTTTGGTGCCCTCAAGCAGCGGACTGGCAGAGAACACCTGAACTGTTCAGAAGAATGAATCGCTTGTGAGCGAAGATGGGGCGAGGAGGGTGAGCGAAGATGGGGCGAGGAGGGTGAGCGAAGATGGGGCGAGGAGGTTTATGACGCTTGTGTATGAACATGAGCGGAGGATGGATACTTCCACAATCTTGACACCTCAGTGTGAAGATCGGGAAAGAATGTGATATGGCGGTGAGGAGGCTGTACTCGCATTGATATGAGGAAGTGGTCATCCAGTTTGCATACATTTTCTCTCATCGGGCCAATCCAGATTTAATTTGGCCACTGCACAAGTAACAACCTCAAGCAGCTCTTCAAAAATGTCAAACTGGGGAATCTGCTCTGCTGAAGCACTCGCCTGCTTATCCACATTCAGTCCCTCAGGATCAGATGCAGAAAGCATGAGTTCCACGTTTTGGTCTGAAGAATTCGCAGAGCGAACTTCGAGATAAAAAATTTCCTCCTCCGAGTCAGCGGAGTGTGTGTCTCAAACTCTGTCTCTGCCAACTCAACCTGCGAGACCCATGACCGGAGTTTCCACGCTACAGTTCAACTGAGCAGAACTGGTGCGAGTCCTGACTGACAAATCCAGACTGATGTCACAGACACACAACACAATGGAGGATTGCAGACACACATTCAAAAAAAACATACGGCTTCTTTTCAGATTAATTATAATTAATCATGCATATCAATAATTGCAGAGAAAAGTCCCTAAAAGATATTTCAAATGTATTGTTATAGAAGATGAGTAAATCATTGAATAGTAATAGAATTACTTTCGAGGTAAATTTATTGTTTTTCCCTCATTCTTTTTCATATAGTTCAACATAAGTCTATCACTGGGCTATAGTCCACAGATGTCCATCTTACAGTTGAGTTTGTCAGTTTTAAAATGATTTTAATATCAAACTTAAATAATTTTAAGTCATCTTGGAAGTTCGCTGAGCTCCCCTAGTGGACTACGGCCCTCTGATTGAGAACCAATGGTGCAATTTGATTAAACTTGAAGACTCAAACATGAAAGTTGCTCTTCGAGCTTGATTTTTTTTAAGAGGATACAGAAATCCCTTATAACGATTTATTTATGGATCAGGTGGCATGATTAATTGCATTAATTTCATGTTCATTTCTTTATAATAACCCATGGTAAAATAACATGTTAAATTGACTGTTCTAATATACACACTAATCAATGTTTTTAGTCCTTTTTTCAAAACTTTCTCACTTCAATCTCTTTCTCTGCACTTTCAGGAGAGTATGTTGTCATGAAAACACATTTCCATCTGAAAAGGAAGATTGGTTACTTTGTCATCCAGACGTATTTGCCATGTATCATGACAGTGATCCTGTCCCAGGTGTCCTTCTGGCTAAACAGGGAATCTGTCCCTGCCAGAACTGTGTTTGGTGAGTGTCCAAATTATGTAAGTTAACCATTCAATGTTAGCATCACACTACAGCAGTCTCCAACTCTTCAACAGATCTTTTCCAAAATCTTCAAATCTAGTGAGCTGTTTTACTGTCTACGTAGCTACTTTCTAAATCAGCATTCTGCATGAAATGAAATCTCTTATATTGTTGATTTGGAATAATCTACCTATGCAGCTACTCCTTACACCACAAAAACAGTTCCTCATGAGACTTACAGAGGTGTACAGCGAAGTACCTTTGCATCTGTATCTGTAGCAATGACAAAATTATTTAATTATTCATACAATTATTCTTTTTTAACAATAATACTAAATGGTAAATAAAAAGGGGGGAAAGTTCTTTAGTAGAGTACTTAGGTTTCATTTGTGTGTGGGGTGGGTGGGACGTGTCCCCACAATTGTTTGATTCGATTTTGTCTCTATCAATTTTTGAAAGCCATGAACAAAATAGCTTGAATCCAGAATCCTTGAAACTTGAATACTGTGCCAGGAGAATTCTGTGTGTCTGTGTAATGTATTATATAACTCATATCAGAAAGGAAAGATTTTGCTCTTCTGTCAGCTTGTTGGGCTACCCTTGCATGAAGTCTCCCGACTGGGCACTCTGAATTCCCAAGCGTTTACATCTCAGACAAACAAAAAGTTGCATCTGAGAGCTGTCTGTGCCTTACTTCTTGCTGGGTAGCTTTACAGCAGCCTTGGAAAACTATATTCGTGTTCTCAATTGTATGAACTTGTATTCTACAAAAGTACTTTTGATTGAAAAATGTCTAATGGGTCAAAGATGCGACACACAGTTTTGAGTTTGGACCTATTAAAAAAAAAATAGCCTGTTTCTGTCAGAACCACTATCGTCAAATACGATTGACAATTAGCATACAGTTAGGATTGGCGGTATGGTTCTGGTCTGGATAAGAGCAGGAATAACCCCCCTTAGGGTAAACAGAACAGAACCAACATGAATGTATTGCAGATATCATTAATTGATTTTATTGTACAACATAATTAGAGAATTTTAGCCTGATTCAGGGGGAATCCGAATGCCAAATCCTGACTGAGGAGGAGTTGGGGATGGAGGAGGGAACTGGCTCCTGAGAAACGCGACAGCTGCTGATAAAACTGAAGGAGCCTATATAGTATGTATACAGTGATAGGCGTCGTATTCCTATATGTGATACACGTGGATCAGCTGAGAGTCAGATGATGTGAGTTGACTAACATGACATGCCAGAACTGATGCTACGCTTAATTTTGTTGACAATTTACCCTAAATTCATCCACCATTGTCTGGGTGAGCCAGACATAATTACAAAATAAAACAAGCTGGTAACTGGAACTTTCATGTGGAGAGTAAGAATGGGCTCTATTCCAATCCTTTTCTTTTTCCTTTTCCGAATCACATATCAGTGAAGAGATTCTGTGGAAAATTCCTTAATATGTTTTTAATAGTTGGAATAAAGTGTTAAACTTGTATTCAATAGGCCTATAGTTGAAATAGGATGTGGTGTTCCACCGTCCACTCATTAATGGGACAGCTTGAGACTGACGCTCATATTTTTACGACGTTCATATTGTTACGACGCTCAAATCATGCAGGGCTTCCTTTTCTAGTCCTTCGAGGACACCTTTATTGATCAGCAGGTTCAATATACTGTAGTTAGGTAGTTAGGGTTGGGGTAGTGTTAATAATGTTGCTTATTAATTATGGCTGCAAGCTGTCAGAACTATTAATACAACTCCCACCCCACCATACACACATTGTAATACCTTGAGCTTCTCTTTAACCACGCAAAGACAAATAACATGAAATGACATTTCCTAAAAAAAAAAATCTAGCTGCTCAAATGTCTCGGTTAAGTATGTAACGAGGGAACGGAGACGTTACGTCAGACGTGATCTGACGAATTGCGATCTTGCCCTTGCAGCGTTGATCGCTGCAAACCAATCTCAGGGACAGATGCATTTGAAAATGAGTTTCTGCCTTAGCATCTTGAACGGGAGCCAGTGAAGGGCCCAGTTCAAAACTCGCAGTGCAACTGATGTACCCCCATACCATGACAGATGTTTTTTTCATCAGTCGCTGATGAAAGTCTGGATGGTCCTTTTCATCTTTGGGTCTGAGAACTCAATGTTCCCCCAAAAAAACAAGCTTAAATCTGGACTCATCTGACCACAGCACACATTTCCACTGTCTTCTAGAGACCATCTGAGATAAGCTCAGGCCCAGAGAGCTCTGCAGCATCTCTACATAGAATTGATGTATAGCTTTCTCTTTGCATAACAGACATTCAAGTTGCATTTCTTAATGCAATGGCAGACTGTGTTAAGTGATAATGGTTTTCCAAAGTACTCCCAAGCCCATGTGGTTATTTTAAACACAGTAGCATATTTCTCTGGATTCCATGAATTTTTTTCACAATATTATGTATGGTAGATCTAGATGGTGAAAGAACTAAATACTTTTGCAATCTTGCATTGAGATTGCATTGGTTTTTAAATTGTTTGACAATTATCACATGAAATTTGGCACAAAGTAGTGAGCCATGACTCATCTATGCTTGCAAAGTCTGTGCTTTTAGTGGATGTTCTTTTCTGTTCACGATACTTTTACCTATTTCCAATTCACCTGCTAATTGTTCTAAACAGTTTAAAAGTTTAAATAATAACTTTTATTTAGCCTCTGACCCAACTTTTTTGGAGTGTGTGCAGCCATCTCAGTCAAAAATTGTTTATTTGAAAAAAAAAATTAACTTTTTTCTTTATACTTTTTTCAGTTAAATAACGGTTCAAGAGAATTCTCCAAGTAGACTTTGCTTACTACTTTGTGCTTCAAACTAAATTCTAAATCTCTAAAGAAGCTACTTACCTAGAAAACAAATCCAGCAATCAATCTAATAGTATTTAAACATTATTTTGTTTTCTGGCAGACTGATAAAAACCTGACATATACTTGCTTAATGCAGGCGCTTTCCATATGCTTTTTCTTTGCAGGAGTGACCACTGTCCTTACCATGACTACCCTAAGTATCAGCGCGAGAAACTCTCTCCCCAAGGTGGCCTATGCCACAGCCATGGACTGGTTCATTGCTGTTTGTTATGCCTTTGTCTTCTCGGCTCTCATAGAGTTTGCCACGGTTAACTACTTCACAAAGAGGGGTTACGCTTGGGATGGGAAAAGTGTGGTGCCAGAAAAGGTAAAGCCTTTCAGTTTTCAAATAAAAGGAAAAGAAAAAACATATACACAAATAGAGATAAATGTAATTAAAGGATTAGTTTATAAAAAAAAAAAAAAAAATTCTGTCATAATTTTCTCACTCATGTTACTGTGTTTCATATGATATTTTAAAGCTGCTGTTTTCCATACACTGAAAGTGTTTGGTGATTATTTGTTTTTATTGTTATTGTTAATTTATAATTATATTCTATGGGCCAGATGTACTATATTTTCTCAACTTGTGTTCATTTATTTGCAATGCCAGAGGAAGACGTTATCTGAACATATTGTTTGCCAAGCCACATTATTTTTCATTTGCTGCGCCTAAGTTGTTAGTAGATCACTCACACCTGATTATCATCGGCTCCACTTGTTTGCGACCCTACACTAATTTGTGCTGCTCTTGATAGATTGTTTTGCTCATAATGGAAATGAGCTGGCTGTGTCTGTGTTCTTTCATTTTCTAACTGTCAGTAGATCACCCGCAGAACTTTTCACTCGCATTGGCACTTTTATGAGATTACAGTCTCACGCTAATTTGGCCTGTTTAGTAAATTTGGCCCTTTGAATCGAATTTTTGCTTGTGCATATTAAAACACTTTACATGTGTTGCATCCAAGGGGTCAAAGTTTGGCTGTTTTGAATGGTCCAGTTTAGCTGTTTTGCATGGTCCAGTTAGCTCAGTTAGCTGATAAATTTCATAACTATATATTTTTGGCTGCGAAAAGTCTTTCTCCATTTACGGGCATTCACTAATGTTTAATGTGATGCAATCAATCTAAATGCCATCTAACCATCTATTTGCGGGCATTCACTAATGTGTAATGTGATGGAATCAATTATTTCGATGCTCAGATTGATAGTGAATGGCCTAGGACTGTAAATGTTCATGTTCTTGTTGTGCACTCAGCTAATCAGCATTGTCATGACTTTTTTTTTTTTTAAGGCCAATGAAGAACCAATAAGGAATCATTAGTTAGATGGCATTTAGATTCAAGCTTGAAAAGAAAAACATCTCGGTTACGTATGTAACCCTCTTTCCCCGAAGGAGGGAACACAGATTTAAGTAGAACGTGACCGACTGAAAGGGAACAAAGCTTGAGTGGTCATGATCAAACTTCAGAACGACTTGGATACGGTTGTAACCTTTGTTCCCTGGTGGAGGGAACGAGACGTGATGTTGCACTTGGGAGCCCCAAACACCTCTGATATTTCAGAAAAGCCCAGTGAGAATAGGCAAGTGGAATTTGCATGCACCACTCCCCCAGACATACGGGTATAAAAGAGGCGTTTTATACCTGCCCAGGGAACGGAGGTTACAACAGTAACCGAGACATTCCCTATCTGTCAGTCACTTTGACGTGGTTTCGATGTGATAACACTAGGTGTCCCTATGGAAAACTCTACAATGTGGTCCTGGTGAGGCAGATGTAGAAGGGAGGTTCACATGTGGAAAATACATCACATGGACTTTCCTTCCAGGAAGCACCACTCGTAGACAGAAGTCCTTGCAGTAGGACTACTACAAACACATCGATTGGCGGCATAGACGGAGCTCTGTCAAGGAGAAGACATAGGCTTACCATCAGGAAATCCGTATCATGGGCAGTACATCATATGGAATTACCATTAGGGAATCACAACATATGGAGCACCAGGCCTAGTATACAGACTGACCTGAAAGACCTGAAAGGGCATGCATCATGAGTCAGGCCTGGCGTTGACTTCCTCAGCTGAATTCGACTGCCTCAGGAGCTGAAAGGCGAAATACATTAAGGGCTCGGCGGTCTAGGAAACTCACATGGACAAAAAAAGTGCAAGTTATCACCTCAGGGAGGCACACACTCAGCTGTGTGCTGCACCTTTGGTGCCAAGTGGTACACGCGGGCAGTTGCCCTAGTATAGTGTGCTTGTACACCAAAGGGGTATGGCACACCTTGTGCTATAGCATCCAAGATCCAGTGGGCCAACCTCTGTTTGGTGAGAGCTATCCCCTATAACAAAGAGCTGCTCAGAGCTTATGAAGCTCTGCGTGTGGTCCATATGAATGTGCAGGGCTCATACTGGACACTGCAACGATATGGCTGGTCTCCCTCGTTTTTAGTTCACGATCTGAGAGTATGCCGCCCCGAACTCAAGGCACGTTTCGCTGACAGAGAATGTCTGCAGGTCCCCGACACTCTTGATGGAGGTGAGTGCGGTCAGGAGTGGCGTCTTCAGTGAGAGTGCATCCAGCTAGACTACAGAGAGATCTCATGAGGGAATAAGCCATGGCCTAGGAGGATTTAACCTCCTGGTTCCTCTACCATCTACTGCGTGATGTGCTGCTATAGTGGCCACATAAACTTTCAAGGTGGAAGGGGACAGCCAACCCTCCAGCCTCTCCTTTAAGAAGGAAAGCACTGACCCAGATTGCACATCTTTGAGAGTCTTCCATTCATGAAGCACACCAGTTAGCGAACAGACACTGCTGACTCTGGAGGAGATGGCGGCCGAGTTGCGCGATGCGATACGAGGGAAAAAACGCCCTGACAATGTTAAATATGCTACAGTCGCTGGCTGTCCGTCCACACCAACACATGCTTGCCTTGGATCAACGGCCGAAACCTCTGCAGGGCCAGCAATACTGCCAGCAACTCCAGGCAATTGATGTTCCCATTTCATTCAGCGCCCCAGCCTGACTTGGAGGCATCTGTTGTGATAACAACGTGCCTGGACACTATTGCTCTAAAGGAATCCTTGCTGTAGAAATGCAAGGTATTTCCAAGGGCTGAATGTATGGCGACAGATCAGTGTAATAATCACAGCACCATGTGTGACACAGCACCATCTCGGGACTGGAGTCTGAAGCGGTCTCATATGCATCAACCCTAGCTGCGTTACTGCCGCGAACGATGCCAAATGCCACAGGAGCCTCTGAAATTGTTTCAGTGGAACCACTGTTCTTACTCTGAACGTCTTCAGACAGTTTAGCACTGACTGGGCACATCTGTTCGTAAAATGAGCTGTCATGTTCAACTCCATTCTGAGAAAAAAGAGATGCTCTGCCCTGAAACGAGCTTGCTCTTTTCCTGGTTGACCTAAAGCCCCAAACGGCTGAGGTGTCTGAGCACCAGGTCCCTATGTGCACACAATAAATCTCGAGAGTGCATTAGGATTAGCCAATCATCGAGATGGGGTAAGGGCAGCCTCAGCGACTTTCGTGAAGATGCGAGGTAACAGCAACAGCCTGAAAGGGAGTACCTTGCACTGATATGCCTGACCCTCAAAAGCAAACCAAAGAAACAGTCTGTGTCGAGGTAGAATCGAGACATGGAAGTAGAGGAACCTTCAGGTCTATCACCGTGAACCAATTCTGTCAGCAAGCGCATGTCAAAATGCATTTCTGCATCTACATCTTGAACGGGGGCGTGTGTAGGGCCCGATTTAGAACACGCAGGTCTAGGATTGGTCTAAACCCACCACTTCCTTCACCAAGAGGACTGCAATTTCTGCTTGCAGGACAGGAGTGTCTCATAGCATCCCGGATCTGTGACTGTGGGTGAATATAGGCATCTACCTTGCTTTGTGTATCCCACTGCAATTGGCCTGAGACGGTTGAACATGAAGAGGTAGGGTACTCGCGTCAGGCATGCTCATGCCGCGAACTGTGTAACCCAGGGAAGGAGGAAACTGCTGCACACAGCTACCTGGAAAATAACCTACGCATTCTCATCCTTTGGCGTCATATAGGTGACGCCATATGACATTTCGTCGAAATCTTACGCACATGGCATCCTTTAGCGTCAATATAACACGCACTGTTATGGGTAGGTTTAGGTCTGGGGTAGGGTACGGTTATGACGCCTTGGGATCTGCGTCTCATATTCACGCTAAACGATGCCATGTGCGTTGGATTTAGACGAGCGTCACCTGTATGACGCCTTGGGTTCTGCGTCTCATATTGACGCTAAAGGATGCCATGTGCATAAGATTTCAATGAAATGTCCAAAGCGTCACATGTATGACGCCAAAGGATGAGAACGGGCTGAAATAACAGTCACTGCCAGAACAGTCTTGTTCTGTAGGTGGCGCTGGAGTTGCACCGAGGCAGGATGTGTTTAATAGCCTTTGTCTGCTTCTTGACTGCAGAGAACTGCTGGGCAAAGTCCTCGACAGTGTCACTGAAGAGGCCACCCTGTGATATAGGGGCATAGAGGAAGGCAATATAGTAGGTATGTGGACAAAGGCCCATCCAAATAGGTTGCCATTGTACCCATAGGAGGTGCAATAGATCGCAAGCCAAAAAATGACAATCGTTAACCAATCATTTAGTCTCCAAATGGGCACTATAACTTTACCCCTAGTTCAAAGCAGATTTTGTTGGCGTCCCTCATCTCAGCAAGGTTAAACCAAAGATGGCGTTCCACCATGATGGACATTGCCTGGCCGAGAGCCCGCACCATGACTTTAGTCACTCTGAGAGCGAAATCAGTTGCCAAACGCAGTTACTGCATTAATCAGAACTAACCACATTCAGGTCTTTCAGTCCCTCTGCCTGGTGGACTTGGGGGATGGCCATGGCATGCAATGCAGAGATGGTCTGTCAGGCACTAGGGACGAAGTTAACTTCCAGACCCTGGATGAGAGTCGGGGACTCTGGAGAGTCCTCCAGGTGCCAGTGTTCTGCGGGCATAAATGCACCGCAATTTTCCGCTCCACCTGGGGAAACTCCATGTGACCCCTGACTGCCCCACTGTCGCAAAGCGGGACCGGGCACTGAAAGGTCCCTATGCTCATCATGCACCTCCAGGAAGAAAGGCACTGTAAGTTGTGCTCCGAGCCCAGATACCAATCGTCCATCCGCGAGCGCTCAGGACAGGGCGAAGGATTCCACTCTAGTCCAATGCTCGCATTGGCCTGGGCAAGCATGGCTGCCAACTCAGAAGGTTAGAGCCCAACCGAGTCTTCAGCATCATAAGGCGAAAGCCTACCCCCAAATTCTGCTATCGAAACATCGCCCTCATCTGGAGCCCCAAATGAGAACACAAGCGAAAAGACACTTTCCCCCAGTTTTGCTCTTTTAGAGTTCTGAAACGGCTCTTTTGCTTAAGCGCCCAGGGGAAACTTGCTACATTTATCCATACAGGGGATGGAGAAACCTCTGCAATGTGGCGTAAATTTCCTTGCAAAGCATGTTGAGTGAATGGAAATGAGTGTTTGTCTGCTGACATCCACTCGGCTCTGAAAAACAAATGTGAAAGAGTGGATGTGCACTGCCTCCTTTATACCCATATGTCCGGGGGAGTGGCACATGCAAATTTCACTCGCCAATTCTCATTGGCCTTTTCTGAAGTATCAGGGGTTTTTGGGGCTCCCAAGTGTGACCCCTATTGTCATCACATTTACACCACGTTGAAGTGACTAACCGAGAGGGACTAACTTGGTATCTCATAATACTGAGAAACTTCCTCATAATTATGTTCTTCACATAAAATCACTAACTCGGAATATACAGCACAATAATTGATTTTAGGGTGTTTTGTTGTTGTTTTTACTTTTTGAGCTAAGCAGTTAATTCTTTTGATGACAGAATTTTCTTTCTTTTTTTTGTTAACTTCTTTAAAAACCTGGGTGTAGTAGACAAATAATACGTACATGAAGAAGTATCTTAAATACTCTATAGTTAGGTATACAGCAATACCCAGTGGTAGTAACAGCTGATGACATACTTCCTGTTGACCTCCTTTACAGCAAAAGAAGAAGAAGGAGTCATTGCTGAAAAAGAACAACACCTACACTGCTGCAACAGCAACAGCTTTTGCTCCGAACATTGCCAGAGACCCTGGTTTGGCAACTATTGCTAAAAGTGCCCCCCCTCCCCCAACTGAGCCCAAGGAAGAGCCAAAACCCAAAGCTCCTGAGGCAAAAAAGACCTTCAACAGCGTGAGCAAGATCGATAGGATTGCCAGAATAGCCTTCCCGTTGCTCTTCGGAACCTTTAACTTAGTGTATTGGGCAACTTACTTGAATAAAAAACCCAAATTACAGGGTGCCGTGCAACCACACTAAGTCTATCTCCTCTGTCTTTTTTTCTCCTTATGTTTCTAAACAATTACAAAAAAGTGAAAAGAAACAATTTGTCTCAAATTTGTTTCAATGTTAGTCGAGTTCCCACTTTCAAGTTTGTGTCAACATATGTAACATACTGTATCTTCCTATATGATTGCAAAGTTACTTATTGTTAGTAGAGTGTTTAAAATGGACCATCGAAATAGTGTAACAGAATAATAGTTTAAAACTAATTTCCTTAAGGAATAGTTCACCCATAAATACATTTTCTGTCATTATATACTCTTCTTCATGTTGTTCCAATGTATGATCTTGTAGAACACAAAAGGAGACACTTTGTTCTTTTTGTTACAATGGCAGTTTAGTGACTATGTCTGTCAAGACCTGAAAAGGACAAAAACACCAATAACAAGCACCATAAAAGTAAAAATATACCATACACTTCATTCCAAGTCTTCTAAAGTCTCATTCTTCACATATGGCTTTAGAAGATTTACAGTATAGATTTTGTATAGAATATTTTTATGGTGCTTTCATTTTTTTAATTTTTTTTTTTTTTATGTGGTGACTATGTAGGTGTATGTGCAAAATAAGAAAAAAAAATGAAAAAAATCTTCTACTTCTGTGTTCCAGAAAAAAAAAGCCTACAGTTTGAGTAAATTGGGTGAACTATTCTTTAGATGTTTATTTCAACATTTAAATACTATGTTTTTGCATTACATTAGCAATGTACATGGAATAAGTTTGCATGGGTGAAGCTTTTCTATACCCAATCAACAGCTTGATTTAAACAGTCATGTGTTTCTGTTTTCTTTAGCCTGTGTTTTGAATCTTTTGTTATTTGACTTTATATTCTACTAGGGTTCCATTAACAGCAATAAAACATGTCTCAGTGGAGAAGAAAAAAATACTCATGGATATAAAAAATTGAAGAGAACTTAAAAGAAGATTAATGTGTATATCATAAAGCATACTATTTATTTAGTTTTCATGTAAATATAAAGTGTTAGAGATGTCAATATTAATTTTGAGCTTTGCTAAATGTAACTACAAGGTACAAACTCAGTGCTTGCCAGAAAGAGAGCTTTGTGTTTCGATTTGTGCAGATCATTGAGAAAATTTGGGTATGTATTCCCCCCCCCCCCCCCCCTATAGATCTACTAGACACTAGTTTGGATTTACCTTTTCATGATAATAATACATAAATGAAAGCATATGTGTGCAGTTGCACAGTTTATAAAGAGTTTAAGAGGAGAGACTACAGTAGATACTTAGAAAAAAATGTAATCTTCTGTTGATGTCAGAATGCAATTTTATATTAACATTAAAATACTCTTTAGTCTTTATTTTGGTAGATGGTTTTTGAAGCATTGTGGGTGGTGCACAATTATGGCACTAGGTTTATCACTTGTGTGCTGTTACTCGCTAGCATCACTTTACTGTGATCAAGTCAGAATGGTTCAAGAGTAGTGCCTTGTATATATTTGCAAGTTGAAACCGTACTTTCTTAGAAGGTGCTCTACTTATTTGTTTTAATTTCATGGGCAACCTTTTAAAAACATCACTGAAGAAAGTCTCAGCCACACTGCCTTTTGTCTCACATGTCATAGTATACATATAAACATAATCCATTACAGACATGTTTGTCCCTGCTTGTTAATGCAAACTAAAAGAAAACATTTCTAGATATTATCCATGTATGTGAATACACTGTTCTACATATAAATATGTCTTGTAATGCTATAACAATGCCAAATTCTTTTTATGTTTGTGGCATGTCAGTTGCTCAAGCACCTATTAAAAAACAACTTATAAAGGAGTATGCTCTCTATTTTTGGATTGAGAGAGAGGGAGAGAGACAAAAGTTCTTTTAAATTTTACTTTGATGTAGCAATATAGATTAGTAAGGGCTTTTTGTGATTGAAGTGATAAAAGGCACACCTTTATAATCAATTTGAATTGCTATTCTTGGTATGTTAATGTATGCCTAAGTTGGCAGTGCTCCTCTGTTTTGTCGATTTGTTACTTTCTTTGTTTAAAATATACTTTTTTTCTTTTTCAAAATTTTTGAATGGATTTTTTTTTGGTGTATGTCACTAAATAAGTATATTTCTGACACATTATCTGCACTTGATAATGCAGATAAATGTCACGTTACCCCAATTTAAAAAAAACATTTTGATAGTACCTGGGAATTTGCTGAGTTTGTGCCAGATCAAGCAAAGACCGAAAGTTTACTCTGGGATATGTGTGTATGCACATGCACAGTCATGGAGTCCTATGGAGCCAGACTTTTGTGAATGCGGTGAAGTTAATTGAGGTTTCAACTCGATATGTTGAATTGATGTTTAATATCATGTTGAAACAGTATATATAAAACGATATCCATGATGATACTTCTAAAGATGCAGCGTTTTATTTGTACCAACCTGTTGTTATGCATTTTGCACATTATAGGCATATTTTATATTTATGTAGTCAGCTTTGTGCTATGCAAGGATAGCTTTAAACCATATTAATTAGCTTCCCACCCCTCATCACTGTCGTTTTCAATATATATTGTAAAAAGTCAGTTATGTGCACCCTATTTAGCTGTAGGACTGTTTGTCATTCAGAAAATCTAAAAATGGGTTGTTCAGTTTTGGAACAAACAAATTCAAAGATATGGTAATGTTGCAATAAAAAAATATGGATTGAAAATAATTCAGTTAGTGTATTTATATTATTTACACATCAATTAATAGATACATTTGGATTGTTTTGTTGCATCTAATGATATATATTTTTAATGTGTTATGAATTAAGAATTTGTATTTTTTTTATGGGAGATTATAGCATTTCATATGCATACCAGATTATGAACGTGGCTTTATTTTTGATTTAGCAGTGTACTGGAGAAATCCAACACATGCTGTAATAAAAAAAAAAACTACATTTGTGCTTTGGCCTAAGTTGAAGTGACTAAAGGATGAACTTGTGCATACATGGTCATTGGCACAAACAGCTTTGTCGAGAGGGAAGAATGATTTATTCTGCACTGTATACTGGGAAATGGCTATTGTCTTCGTAAAGGTTTGCTGTCTTAATGTTATAGCCCTGTATAATTTGATTATCTTCATTAGCCATACAATAAAATAAAAAAAAGAAATCCATAGATTTTTGTCATTTTTGTATGCTTAATCCATATTATTGTCTTGTTTTCCAATAAAATATTAGTACATTGATTATTACAAAAACATTTAATTACAATAAAATCAATAAATTCACTTTAAAGAAAGGCTTTCCAAAAGAAACAAAGTCAAATGAAGTGATAAAAAAAAAATCATGTCTTGCAGCATTTTTTTGCTGTTCACTCCATTAGCTGCAGCCTCTTATGACATATCAATCATCGTCTACTTTCATAATTAACATAAATTTAAATACATGGAATGTTAAACAAATAATATTTAAATATTTAAACATCAATACTAAACTAAGTACGTTTTTGTCACAAGAACAGGGCGGAAGCAAATGCAAGTTAACTCTTTTATTAGTAGACACAAAGACAATCTCGAGGAACACAGCAGATGGTGGCGCAGGGACTCAGTGGTCAGCGTGCAGGTGATGGTGATTCCAGAGCGGGTGACAGGGAATCCAGTGCAGGTGAACATCAGACGAGACAGGACACGAAGACACCGAACAGGAACTCGAACTGGAACAGACTGCAACAGGAACACGAAGCACGACACAGAGGACACCAAACCAACGATCTGACAAAGAGAGGAGTTTGTGATGAGTCTTTATAGTGAGGTGAATTGACAGCAGCTGGCGCTGATAATGAGATCAGCCGGTGAACTGATCAGCTGAACGAGCGGTAACGCCCACTCACACGCGCTCATACTCACAGAACAACAATAACACGAGACATGAAGGAAACAGCGAATTCATGAATCGTGATAGTACCCCCTCTCCTAGGAACGCCTCCTGGCGTCCCCAGACTCCCTTACCTGTCGATTGTAATCATCAATAAGGGAGTGATCCAGAATGTCTCTAGCAGGCACCCAACTTCTCTCCTCCGGACCGTAACCTTCCCAGTCCACCAAGTACTGGAACCCGCGTCCCCTCCGCCTTGAGTCCAGAATACGATGAACCGAATATGTGGTCTCCCCGTCTACGAGTCGCGGCGGTGGGGGAACCGGGACAGGCGGATTAATACGAGAACGAAAAACTGGCTTGATTTTGGATACATGAAAAACGGGATGAATTCTCCTGTACACTGGAGGAAGATTGAGGCGGACTGCCACGGGACTAATAATTTTGGTGACAGTAAACGGGCCAATGAATTTGGGAGCAAGCTTATTCGAAACGGAACGGAGAGGAATGTTCTTGGTAGAAAGCCACACTTTGGAACCGACGACGTATACGGGAGGCCTCGGCCGGTGGCGATCGGCTTTGGCCTTGGTGCGCGCTCCCACTTGGAGTAGAGTCTCCCGGGCTCTAGTCCAAGTGCGATGACACCTCTGGACAAAGGCGTGAGCGGAGGGAACCGCGACTTCGGGTTCCAGACTAGGAAAAATTGGTGGCTGGTACCCTATGCTACACTCAAACGGAGATAGGCCCGTGGATGATACTGGTAATGAATTGTGGGCGTACTCCACCATTGATAGTTGTTGGCTCCATGAGGAAGGATTCTTGGAAACCATACATCGCAACGTTCTCTCCAAATCCTGGTTGGCTCTCTCAGTTTGGCCGTTGCTCTGGGGATGAAACCCTGAGGACAGACTAACAGTTGCACCCAGTAACCTACAAAATTCTTGCCAAAATTTGGACACAAATTGGGGACCTCTGTCGGAAACCACGTCTGTCGGGAGGCCATGTAACCGAAAGACGTGGTTAACGACTGTTATCGCTGTCTCCTTGGCTGAGGGCAATTTGGGCAACGGAATAAAGTGGGCCGCCTTCGAGAACCGGTCCACCACGGTTAAAACTACCGTGTTACCCTGAGAGGGTGGGAGGGCGGTGACAAAATCTAGAGCGATGTGGGACCAGGGTCTCGAAGGGACCGGCAGCGGTTGAAGGAGCCCATCTGGGGGTCGATTGGAAGTCTTACCAGTGGCACAAACTGAGCAAGCCAAAACAAAACTGTGAACGTCGCGAGCCATACGTGGCCACCAA